TTGAAATGGACCAAAAACTGAAAAATTTCTTGATTTTGCAGTTGCTCTACAGGTCGCAATTATAGACCAATTTACGCGGAAATTAACATGGGGCTAGAGCCTTCCAATTTTGATGGTCATCGGGTAATTTTTAGTGGGTGAAATAGTCTATACTATTTGTGTTAAATAAAAGTCAAATTTTCCATTAAACAGCGAATATTTGTAATCCCGGCGAAATCAAAAAAAGACGAACAGGTCAATTCTGATGCTTACGTAGATGCCGATAGTATATATGTCGGATATATATAGCGAAATATATACAATGTGTTTATATAAAGGAAGGGGATGTTATCTAGAATGCTTATGTCTCAAAAATGGCTGGACCGATTTTGATAAATTTTAAAAAATCTGAATGCCCTCTTGGCATAAAAGATTAAAAAGGCATAAAAAGATGCCAATAATGACGTGAATATAGATTTTGTAGTGATTTGTGACATTTTTTTAATTTTTCATATTTTTTATCGCATGCAATTTTTTTCAACTTAGCTTAAAATATTGAAGTGTATATTTTGTAATATTTTTTCACATTAAAACACAGGTTGGGGTTTTATATACAGACTGCAATTATCGTCCGATACTTACGAAATTTTTCACAAGGGTAGGGTAAGACTTAGATGGGATAGACCTATTGGTTTTAAAGATGTCCGCAATATATTTAGGGGTTGAAATGGACCAACAACAAAAAATATTCCTGATTTTGAAGTAAAGAAGGTCTCAAATAGAACCCAAAGGCCACGAAATCTCCATGAAGTTAGAGCTTAGGTCAGCGGGTAGAATGAACCACTAATTTTGTGTGAAAAAATACCAACATTACTTAAAGGCGATATCCGGAATATACAAAAGGCGAACTTCTTTCGTTTTTATGCTGATTTCGTTGGCGAATATAGAGAAATATCGTAGACAAGCAAATCATATAGATGAGTCTAAATTTGGAGATACAAGGGGCCTCTTACTTTTGGAGATGATTGCAAAATATTTAGGGGTTCAAATGAACCAAAAAGAGAAAATATTTCATGATCATACAATTAAAGCCATTCAACACGCCTGGGAAGAGAGTTAAGTAGAGTTAAGTTAAGATTCTTGCATTTTGGATGACCATTGGATTTTATTTACCTGTAAAAAGGACCACAACAACTAACAGCACGACGAAGTCGTAAATATTGGGCAAATATCCTTGGTCAAAAATCTAAGGGTAATATCTGGGCAATGCTCTACGACATAATTTCAAAAGCGAAATCTTCCAAAATGGATTTGGACATAAGAGGGCTTCTAACATATTGTAGTGTTGTAGGGCATCACATAGTCGGCCCCACACGACTATAACCTTTGCTTACTTGTTTTAAACTAAATTTGTAATTTCCGTTTCTTAACATATAAAATAACTTTATACAATTAACGGGGCGAGATAAAAAAAAACTGCAACCAACTTCAGACTGCTGTCATTTCTAAGCCACTCGTCCGACAGCTGTTAAAATTATTCCAGTGACAGCTCATTATATTGTTTACAACCGTACAGAAGCATTTTGGTGAGAATTTTCCAGAAAAAAGTTATTCATGATGGAATTCAAGCGTGGTAGTGGGATTTCTTTATCTTTGGCTGGAAAACCACAAGTGGCTATCGCTATCATTGGAGCACTTCAGCATTTAAATGAGAATAAATCTTTTGTGTCTCGTACCATCCCTTGTTACCGTGATACCGGTAGCGTAGGCAGACGTCAAGGAAGTGGACGGAAGAAAACAGCTACATCAGCAGAAATGGTTCGAAAAGTAAAGAAGCGACTTGATCGAAACCCGCGTCGCTGTGGCCCAAAAATGGCTCGTGAGCTGAACATATCGCAATATTCGATTCGGCAAATATTGAAGAATGAGCGCGGGGTAAAGCCATTGAAATTCCAAAGAGTGCAAGAACTTACATCGCAACACCGCAATAGAAAGAAAATAGTTTCAAAACAGCTAAAGAGATGCTTCGCTTGGCTGAAAGTGGTGAACTGCCGAATTTGGTTTTCTCTAATGAGAAAACATTTGTTTTCCAGCAGTTTGTAAACAAACAAATGATCGTGTTTACTTGCTGAAAATGTGCATCTTCGGTTGGTCACCACAACCATGGTGATGGTGTGGACTGTCATAACAGCCGATGGTCGCTTTCCGCTCGTATTAATCGAACGCTTCGCCGGGAATGGGCCAAAATATCGCAGAGCAATATTCGGGCAGCATGTGATGGTTTCATTGGCCGTTTGAAGACCATAATTCGTGCCAAAGGTGGCCAATTCGAACAAATCTTAACTTATTCTAAAATTTGATGATATTTCCGATATTTTTTGCTTTCATTCAATAAAATTTAAAACAAGTAAGCAAAGGCTATAGTCGTGCGGAGCCGACCATGTGATACCCTACAACACTACAATATCTTAGCAGCCCCCTTATGTCCAAATCCATTTTGGAAGATTTCGCTTTTGAAATTATGTCACCAGGGACATTTGCCCCACATATATGCCCTCCTTCGGGCTGTTAGCTGTTGTGGTCCATTTTACAGCTAAATATAATCCAATGGTCATCAAAAATTCTAGAATTCTTCGCTGTCCTAAACTCTCTTCTCAGGCGTGTCGATTGTCTTCAATTGTATGATCAGGATTTTTTTTTGTTCTTGGTTCAATCGAACCCCTAAATATTTTGCGATTATCTCCAAAAGCATCTCCTCTTTTTCTCCAAATTTAGACTCATCTATATGATTTGCTTGTCTACGATATTTGTCTAGATTCGTCAACGAAATCAGCATAAAAAAGCCAGAAATTCGCCTTTTGTGTACTTCGGATATCGCTTGTAAGTAAGACTGGTATTTTTTTTTTTCACACAAAATTAATGGCCCATTCTTCCCGCTGTCCTAATCTCTAACTTTATGCGAGATTTCGTGTCCTTTGCTTTCTATTTGTGACTTTTATAACGGCATCAAAATCGGGAACATTTTTAGTAGTTGGCCCATTTTAGCCCTTAATAAATTGCGGACATCTTTGAAATCAATAGGCCTAGCCCTTCTTAGCCCAACCCTACCCTTGTGAAAATTTTCGTGAGGATCGGGCGATATTTGCAATACTTATATAATATCCCCAACCTGTATTGTAAGTAAAAAAAATATTAAAAAATATTATGAGTCAAATTGAAAAAATCGCATGCGATAAAAAATATGAAAAAATAAAAATATGTCACAAAATACTACAAAATCTATATTAACATCATTATTGGCATATTTTCTGCAATTTTTTTAGATTTTATACTATTATGTCAAGAGGGCATTCCGAATTGACAAAATTTGTCAAAATCTGTCCAGCCATTCTTGAGATATAAGCATTCTAACTAACATCCCCTTCCTTTGTGTATACACATTGTATATATTTCGCTATATATATCCGACATATTTGCTATCGGCATCTACGTAACGGTCAGAATTGACCTGTTCGTCTATTTGTGATTTCGCCGGGATTTAAAATATTCGCGGTTTAATAGCAAATTTGACTTTTATTTAACACAAATGTTGTAGCCTACTTCACCCACTAAATATTACCCGATGACAATCGAAATTAGAAAGCTTCTGCCCAGCCCTAAGCTCTAGCTCCATGCTAATTTCCGCTTTGATTGGTCTATAATTGCGACCTGTAGAGCAACTACAAAATCAGGAATTTTTTCAGTTTTGGTCCATTTTAACCCCTAATGCGATCATCTCCAAAAGAAATAGGGTTCTATTCTGACCCTAGCCCCACCTCCATTCTAAATTTCGTGAAGATCGGGCTATAATTGTGACCTGTAGCGTTATTACAAATTAACATAAACAGACAGACAGACGGACATAGCTAGATCGACTCAGCTCGGCGAGATAGGAAGATCCATATATACTTTCCTATATGGGAAACCAATATTTCGAGGTATTACATAATTTTTGGCCCGATCAAACTTATAATACCCCAAACACTTAGTGTTGTAGGGTATAAGAAGCAGCTAAGTTCAGTTCACCGTTTGAAAGGAACTTGAAATATTTCCAAAAAAATTCCGCCGAAAAATACCGCTCATATGAAAACCGAAGACGTGGTCCTGCATAAGCAATTTTTTGTCATAGGCTGTAATAACGATTCCGAACTTTAAATACGAAATTCCGCCTAATAAATTATCAAAATACCGTATTCGGAAGGAACTCCTATATGGGGGATATTCGATATCGTTACCCACATTTTTCAATGGATTTTAGACCATTCCATTGAAAAATGTGGCTAAAATATCGGAAGGTTGCATTATATAGGAGACATACGAGGCAATACTCGTATCTACCAGATACTGAATATCTGGGGGTACTGTTATATGGGGGATATCGCCTTAAAATTTTTGCTCTGAATGAAGGTCTGTTAAGTCTAAAATTATTATTTCGATGAGTTACAAACGAAAGGATAACATATCCTCCATATGGTGGAGGGTATAAAAATATGGCATGAGGAACATTTAAGACGAATACCCGCAACCGAAGACAAAGATCTTCCAATTCTCTGTGGAATTCCTGAATATATGAGATTAAACTTATATATTTCATGTTCATGTCATAAAATGGAAGCTCGTTAAATCCTTTAATCCGCCGTTATCCTAATGCTTTACTCCAGCTATAAATTGAACAATAATAAGTATATTTTTTTTCCGTTCACCCTTCCCTTCTACTCCTAAATAACATTAATCCAAATAATGGTTATTGCTTTGCGAATGCAACAATCTTTTACGCACACACACACACACACATACGCACACAAAGAGAATCTAAAATCATATATAAACATCATAAAATTTCAATTTTTCACAACGATAAATTTAAATTGTTTTGCGAAATGTTTTATTCCTCCCCTAAACGTCTCTCTCCCCCACCTGTTATCAAATCAATTTCAGTTTCTTTTTTGCAATAACACCCCCTCACCCTTTCCCACACTCACCTGTGTATCGTTTGTCATCAGTTCAATGGTATAGCCGGGCAATAGCTGTTTGCGATTTATGTGCTCAACAGCCATTTGGGCAGCAATCAATTCGCTCAAACCTTCCGGTCGTGGACCCGATTTCGTCGAAAGTTCAAATAGACCGAGCAAAACAATTTTGCCGCGATTGTGCTGCAGATTGCTGCGAGTTAGGGCACGTTCCTGTTCAAAGACTTGATTTACTTTTAGATAGTGCTGTTGTTGTTGTTGTTGCTGCTGCTGTTGCCATAAGCTCATTGAAAGGGGTAGCACTGGGGAGGAGGATGGGGAGGAGGAGGACGAGGCATTTGTCGTGGTATTGACAAATGAAACGGAAACATTTGAATGGTGTATGGCTGTGGTTCGTGGTGTCGGTGTTGGTGACGACGAGGACTCTCGTTTTGGTTTGGCTGTCGATGATGATGATTGGGTTTTTCGCAGTTTAGAAAAACGTCGTTGCCTTTTTATGTGTTTTTCGACGGCATCTAAAGGCGATGCGGGGGCGGGGGAAAAGGAGGATGATAGGATTTTCATTGCCTTTGTATTTGTTGTTGCTGGTGATGGTGATGGGATAACCGCTCTAAGATGATTGTCATTGATTTTTGAATTTAAAATTGTGAAAGGATTTGAATAGGACACTGTGGGAGCTATAAGTGTTGTTGTTGTTGTTGTTTTTATCCGCCGTTGGCCTATTGCACTTGCCAACGACGATGATTCATTGTTAACTGGTTTTTTATTCAATTTTTTATTTACAGGACGGTCGCTTTTGATTATTTTATCCGAATGTTTGTATTGCTTTTTAATTGCTGCCGATGCTGGCATTGCTCTGCCCTCAAGGGCCCGAGATTCGTTAAATTTAATTGACTTGAACGTTTGTTGTTGTAGCTGCACTTCCCGGCCAAAAGGGAAATATAAGTGGTTGCTGGTCATGCCAACAACGAATGCTGGGGATGGCGATGACGGTGGTGGTGGTGGTGGCGGTGACATTTTGAATGTCGCCACAGACGTCCTTGGCGATGGCACGAATTGTGTCATTACTGTCATCGTTGGAGATGTTAATGCTCTTGGTGTTGTTGTTACTGTTTCTGCCGCTGTCGCTGTCGCTGTCGTCATCGTCATCACTGTCTTAAGCCTGGTATTATTACACCTTGTCATGTTAATTGGCACAATAATTGCCGTTGCCATAATTACCATGATGGAAATGTAGTGCTGCAGCAAATGGCGGGTGTGTTGCCAGCGCCATCTCTTCTGTTTCGTTTTGGACATTTCGTTGTCGCTGACAGGAGAGATGTTGTTGTTGTTGCTGTGACACTGGTCCTTTTATTTCACTGCTATCTTTTGTGGCTCCACGGTTTCTGGTGATTTTTAAGGGGTTGATTTTTATTTGGTATGTTGTTGCCGTTGTTGTTGTTTTTGCAGGTTGTGTTATATTTGTTGTTATCATCAAATGTTGAAATTGTTGTAATGTTCTCATTAACACATGTTTTCGCATATTTTTTGTTTAATTAAATACATACTCTTGTTTTTTTGCTGTGTTTATTTTTCGAATGTCGGACATAAAAATAAACATTTGTACACTTAATATTTTTGGTTAAATAATTATGTTTATGGAAGGTAGTATGTAGATCCTGCACCACGTCATGACCGATGAGTATGTAAATGTATTTTTCGTACACGTAAAATTAACATAAATTTTTATTTCAGTCGAATTACAATTGTCATATTATTTTAAGGTATTAAATTTTGAACTTCTTAAAATACGATTTTTTCAGTGGAAATATTCGCAGAACAATTTTGACCACAGCACCAATCGAGTTAGGAAGCGCTCAGTTTGGTCGGGTTCTCCACCATTAGAGAATGAAAAAATTGGAGATTGTGTCCGATTGCAACTCACATAGATATTTATTGCTTTGGAGCTTGACAAGAATTTTAAAATATTTTTAAAACCCTAAAAATTCTTTTTTACTATCGCACTATAAGGCCTATAACGTAACACGAATATTAAATATCAGCAGAGAAGTCTAAGCAACCAATTCACAGGAATGTTGCAAAAATAAAGTAATGTCCAATACTTAAAGTTTGGGGGTATTATTATAAGGACTAATTTTAACAAGTTATAAGCGAACATTGAATACCCTCCACAATTTCGAACGAATTTGGGAAATTTAAAAAAATAAAATCCGTTAAAAATTCTGTTAAAATCTTAAAAATATCGGGTCTATACGCGGTAGACCTACATAGGCATTGTTTGTAAGAAGCCATTACCATATTCAAATTCGAAATTTGAAATAAACGGTGAATAATGTAACTAATTTCATCAAAATACCGTATATAGGAAGGTACCGTTATATCGGAGCTATACGAAGGCCTGGACCTGCATAGACAATTTTCTGTCGCAGGTTGAAGCATCAATTACGAACTTTAAATATAACATCTCAAAACAATTTCGGTGAGTATTGTACCTAAAATCATCAAAATACCGAATATAGGAAGGTACTGATATATGGGCCATTACGAACTCTAAATACGTAATTTGAAACTACTCCGGTGAATAATGAGGCTAAAATCATCAGAATACCGAATATTGGGAGGTACCGTTATATGGGGGCTATACGAAGACGTGGACCTACACAGACAATTTTCTGTCTTAGGTTGTAATATCGATTTCGATCTTCAAACACCAAATTTGAAACAACTCCGATGAATAATGTCGCCAAAATCATCAAAATACCGAATATTGGGGGGTGCCGTTATATGAGGGCTATATGAAGACGTGGACCTGTACAGACAATTTACGAACTTAACCTCCCCACTGGCAAAATACACATGTTTGCAAAATTTTAGCCTCCTATCTCAATTCGTTCGAAATATAGCGTGATTACAACAGACAGACGGACAGACAGACAAACGGACATGGCTAAATCGACTTAGAATTTTACGCTGATCAAGAATACATATATTTTTTTGGGTCTGACCTGAGTATTTCGAGGAGTTACAAACGAAATGACAAATATAATATACCCTCCATAGTATGGTGGAGGGTATAAAAATTATGAATTAATGGAAACATATTTCGAAAAAAAAACCTCCTTACCAAAAATTGTGGATTTTCTTGAAATATTTTCAAAAATTATGAATATTTCGAATTAGGTTACAAAGTTCTAAAATCAATGTCAAGCAACTGTGAATTTATCATAACTACGGGGTGAAATGAAAAAAAAAACTGCAACCAACTTCAGACTGTTGTTATTTCTAAGCCAATCGTCCGACAGCTGTTAAAATTATTCCAGTGACAGCTCGTTATATTGTTTACAAGGGTACAAAAGCATTTTGGTGAGAATTTTCCAGAAAAAAGGTTATTCGTAATGGAATTCAAGCGTGATAGTGTGATTTCTTTATATTTGGCTGGAAAACCACAAGTGGTTATCGCTATCATTAGAGCACTTCAGCATTTAAATGAGAATAAATCTTTTGTGTCTCGTACCATCCCTTGTTACCGTGATACCGGTAGTGTAGGCAGACGTCAAGGAAGTGGACGGAAAAAAACATCAGCAGAAATGGTTCGAAAAGTAAAGAAGCGATTTAATCGAAATACGCGTCGCAGTGGCCGAAAAATGGGTTGTGAGCTGAACATATCGCAATATTCCATTCGGCAAATATTGAAAAATGAGCTCATGGTAAAGTCATTGAAATTCCAAAAAGTACAAGAACTTACACCGCAACGGAAAGAAAATAGACTCAAAAGAGCTAAAAAGTTGCTTCGCTTGGCCGAAAGTGGTGAACTGCCGAATTTGGTTTTCTCCGATTCGAAAACATTCGTTGCCCAGCAGTTTGTAGACAAAGGCAAACAAAATGATCGTGTTTACTTGCCAAAGAGGTCAGCTGAAAATATGCACCGTCGGTTGGCCACCAGAACTCAAACGCTGGCCATGGTGATAGTGTGGGTCGCCATAATGGTAGCTCTCCATCAGAATAAATGCCGAATATTATCGCGAAAATATTCTGGAGGTGTATTAAAGCCTTGGGCACGCAAACATTTTGGCCGCAGACCTTGGATATTCCAACAGGACTCAGCACCATCGGACTCAGCAGACGCCACACACAAATAACTACAAAATGAGGTTCTTCGCTTCATCTCCAGCGCACAATTGCGACCAATATCTCCGGATACCAATCCGTTGGACTAATGTGTCTGGAGTATTTTGGAAAGTAAGGTTGGCACTAAAAAAATACCAAAGTGTCGATCACCTCAAGCAAGCGCTTGGCCGGGAATGGGCCAAAATACCGCAGAGCAACATTCGCGCAGCGTTTGACGGTTTCATTGGCCGTTAGAAGGCCATAATTTGTGCCAAAGGTGACCAATTCGAACAAAACTACACTTATTCGAAAATTTGATCCTATTTCCGACATTTTTTGCTTTCATTCAAAATAATTAAAAACAAGAACAAGTTAAAAAGCAATAAATTCGGCCTGGCCGAACTTTGAAAAACCTCCACCCTTTGGAAAGAATTTAAAAAATTTTCAAAAAATAAAATCTTTAAAATTTTAAAAATACCGAATATAGCCGTTATATTGGGGTCTATGCGACGTGAACCTACATAGGCATTGTTTGTCATAAGCCATTACCATATTCTAATTCGAAATTTGAAATGAACCGTGAATCATCAAAATATCGTATATAGCAGCAGCATAGACAATTTTCTGTCACAGGCAGTAGCATCCATTACGAACTTCAAATACGACATCTCAAACAATTTCGGTTTGATTTGTATCTAAACTTGTCAAAATACCGAATATAGGGAGATACTGATATATGGGGACTATACGAAGACCTGGACCTGCATAGACAATTTTACCGAATATCGGAAGGTACCGTTATATGGGGGCTATACGAAGACGTGTACCTGCACAAATAATTTTCTGTCTTAGGTTGTAGCATCCATTTCGAACTTCAGATACCAAATTTGAAACAATTCCGGGAAATAATGTCGCTAAAATCATCAAAATACCGAATATAGGGAGGTACTGTTATGTGGGGGCTAAACGTGGACCTACATAGTCCATTTTCGAACTTAACCTGCCTACTGGAAAAATAAACATGTGTGCAAAATTTTAGCTTTCTATCTCAATTCATTCGAAAGATAGCGTGATTACAACAGACAGACGGACAGACAGACAGACAGACACAGACGAATACCGAATATCGGGAGGTACCGCTACGTGAACCTATATCGACAATTGTCTTCCAGGAGATAATTATATTGAAAATTTGGGCCATAATCATCAAAATGCCGAATATTGGGATTGACAAGCCTGCAGACAAAAGACTGATATGTGCCAAATTTTAGCTATAATTAATATACCCTCCGTACAATGCACGGTGGAGGATACAAAAAAAAATTATAATTGACCATTCCTGTTATCCTATATCCTGAAGACTTTTATTTCCATATTTCCTAAATTTCTGTTATATTTTTAAGACAAAATTGAATTTCA